CCAACCCTCCCTTCCCTTTCCCCTTTTCCTTCCCTTCTGTCCCCTCCTTTCCCTTCTCACTGCCTTTCCTTTCCTTTCCCTTTTCTCTTCCTTTTCTTTTCTTTCCTTTCCTTTCCCACCCCTCCCTTCCCCTTCCCTTTTTCCTTCCCTTCCCTTCTCTCTTCCTTTCCTTTGCTTTGCTTTCCTTTCCCTTTTCTCTTCCTTTTCTTTCCCAACCCTCCCTTCCCTTTCCCCTTTTCCTTCCCTTCTGTCCCCTCCTTTCCCTTCTCACTGCCTTTCCTTTCTCTCTTCCTTTCCTTTCCCAACCGTCCCCTCCCTTCCCCTTCCCTTTTTCCTTCCCTTCCCTTCTTCCTTTCTTTTCCCTTCTCTCTACCTTTCCTTTCCTTTCCCAACCCTCCCGTCCCCTCCTTTCCCTTTCCTTTCTCACTTCCTTTCCCTTCTCTCTTCCTTTCCTTTCCCAACCCTTCCCTCCCCCCTTCCCTTCCCTTCCCCTCCCTCTTCCTTTCTTTTCCTCTGCTTTCCCCTCCCCTATTTTTCCTATTATTTGTTTTTGTGCTTTTGTGTTTTATATTATAAACTGACAAAAAAAGGACAATTTGGAGAGAGAGAAAAAAAATAAAGAATAGAAGAAAACCAATCAGCAATGAATGCAGTGCTTTGTTACTGTTGGGGCAACTGAGAGATTTTTCTCCCCTTGGTAAGCAAAATAGTGAATTTAAAAGAAAATACACGAACCAAAGCCATCATCTGTGGCTCTAACAGCTCAAGGGGTAAGTAAGCTTGCATTGGCCCAGCATGTTCAAATCTTCGAGGGGAAATCCAACTTGCTGAGATTAATGTCTTATAAAGCTGTCTAGCATTGCCAGACAGATGGACCATGCTGGGAACTAAAAAAGGAATAAAGCAAGTTCTCTGCAATTTTGCCTTCTCTTTCAAATATCAACCTAATGGGAAACTTTGCTATGAAATAGCCAGGCTGTGTCGGATACCCTGTTTCCCTGAAAATACGCCCTACCCTGAAAGTAAGGCCTAGCTTGATTTTTCAGGCATGATATTCCCCTCTGAAAAAAAAATCGGGGCCGGCCAAAAGAGACCCCCCACCGCGCGCCAAGAAATCGCCCGCCCGCCTGCCGCTCGCACCGCCCGCCCGCCCCTCGCACCGCTCGCCCGCCCCGCCTGCCGCTCGCCCGGGCTCCACTCGCATCGCCCGGGCGATTCCCAAAAAAATCGGAATTCTGATTTTAATCGGAAAAATATCATGTCTGATTTTTACACGTGCACCCAATATAAGCCCTATCCCCCAAAATAAGCCCTAATTAAGATCCCTCCCATTCCAGAGTGGACGGGTAAAAATTAAGCTTGGGTGGGGATGGAGGGTGGTGGAGCTGCCCTACTACTTACCTTTGGACAGTTGTAGCCAGGCCACGCACACCCCAACACCTGCCTTGTCGGCTCATTTCTTCTGCAGCTGGCCAGGCTTTTTTAAAGGCCTCTGTAGCTGATAACGAAGCTCAGGATCGATCCAGAGCTCCATTATCATCTGAAGAGGCCTTCAGGAAAGCCTTGCCGGCTGCAGAAGAAGTTCCTCAAGGCTTCTGACAGCGAAAAGGAGGCCTGGGATAATGTGCACAAGTGAGGTTAGACAGTGGATGACATCAGGGGTGGGATTCTACAGGTTTGCACCTATTCGTTAGAACCGGTTGTAAACATTCTAAGCAGTTCGGAGAACCGGTTTGTTAGAAGAAATTACAGGGCTAATCCTGTAAGCAAGGCAGGAAGGAAACATTCTGGTGTTGCTTACAGAAACTGCCTCTCCGTTAACCCTTATTACATTCTTGGCAGGACTAGACTTCCTGTCTCAGGAACTTCTCTAGAGATTGGAGGGACCATTCAAAGTTACAATGGCACTGAAAAAAGTGACTTATGACCGTTTTTCACACTTACGACTGTTGCAGCATCCCCACAGTCATGAGAGGCCAGGTGAGGAGAGGCGTGCCTCGATGTCAGTGATGCTGAGTTGACCACACCCAGCCAGTCACATGACCACCAAGCCATGCCCACCAACTAAGCCACGCCCACAGAACCGGTTGTTCAAGAATTTGAATCCCACCCCTGGATGACATCCCCCCGAAAATAAAACCTGGTGCCTTTATACATAGATACATACATGCATGCATACATACATGTATATATGTATACGACAGGGTCTCATGTTCAGGGAAACACAATATCATGCCACCCCTAAACTCCAATCTGTGTTTATGGAGATTTCTCAACCATCCAGGTCATGATTGTCCCAAAAGCGCTTTTCCAAAAAGCAACTGGATTTTCTTCTATATTTTTCCCTAGGTATCTAAGGCCCGAGGTTTAACTGGCAGCGATGAGCCAGCTATTTTTTATCTTATTTCCCTCCCCTTCCTGTGGATGATTTGTCACTATTCATCTGTTAAGAAGAATCTCCTCCAGGGCTAAAAGTGACTCATTTCAATGTGGACAATTGGCCATTTTAAGAAAACTGTCCCGAAGGCAGCCTACGTTTCAGACTGGCCCCTTGGAAACAAATTCAGACACAACACAGTATTGAGGCGACCCACGACGTGATATCTTGCAAGACGTGTTTGCACGAACGTTATTTTGTTTTCTTAACAAGAGTGGTGCGGTGACCTAGAGGTGGAGCTTTCACCTCATAAACCGGAGGCCGTGAGTTTGATCCTAAGTAGAGGCAGATATTTATTTCTCTCGCTCTGGGCACGTTGAGAATATATCTGTCGAATATAACTCCACATTGGCAACAGGAAGGGCATCCGGCCAGTAAATACTCAGCTCCATTCAGACTCCACCCCGCAGGGGATTATGGGGTTATTAAAAGAAGAAGAAGAGGATTGTGATGGTTTTGTTTTCTTAGAACAACTCATGAAAAAAAAAGCAAAGGTAAAGTGTTTGTGTGAAAGCTAATAAAGTCAAGGGGGTGATGACCACATTGCATGGCACAAAGGCAACCCAGTCAGATAATCAGTAGGAGTCGCTTTATTCGCTGCAACTTTGCCCCCAGTGTCCTGGTTACCTTCTGGCTGGAGAAAAACTCTCCCAGGTTGGCTGCAGAGAATCAAGTCCAAAACATGGTCAACAAAAACTGTAACTTAAAGTCCAATCAAGGCAAGATGAGGTAATTAGTTTGGCAGGGCAGGAGCAAGAATTCCAGGCGTGAAGGCACAGCAATAACTCAACACGGTTGGGAAGAAGCCAGGAACACAGATAAGCCACGACAACCCAGGATAAAGTCACATTTGCTCCCCCAGCAGCTGCCACAGTCAGCATGGATTTCTTTTAAACTCTCATTCCCAGGTGTGGCTAATGAAGGGAAGTTTAAAAGAGATGCATGCTGAGTGCAGTGTCTGCTGGGAGAAAACGTGAGTTTATCCTGTGTTGTCGTGGCTTATCTGTGTTCCTGGCGTCTTCCCAACTGTGTGAGTTTTGCCCGGCTTTCAAGTTTGAAATTCCTGCTCCTGCCCCGTCAAGCTAATTACTTCAGTTCGGTTGGTTTGGAGTTTAAGTTACAGTTTGTGTGCGCCTTGTTTTGGACTGAATTTTCTACAATCAAAGGCTGTGACTGGGAGAGTTTTTACTCCAGGCCGAAGGCAACCTGGACACTGGTGGCAAAGTTGGAGCTATTAAAGGAACTCTTCTGGCTTATCTGACTGTGTTGCCTTTGTGCCACGCCCCGGGTCACCACGTAGCCATTGAGCCACCAAGTCTCTATAAATACATAAATACATAAATCTTAAAATGTGTTAAATAGAAAACTCCTCTAAGGAAGGAGCTCAACCTAACATCGCTTCCTGAGAGCCTGCAAAATGATTGATGGCTTCGCCAATGATGTGTGTGTGTGTGTGTGTGTGTGTGTGGTTTTAGGGATTCGATGATGGACACGCAAGAGGAAGGATCAAAACCCGGAAAGCTCGAAACTCACGGTGGGATCATTGGTCTCGCGAAGCTTGTGGGTTAACTTCAGCAGCTTCTCGGCCGAGGCACGGGCCACATTCGGAGCCTGGGAGAAAGAATGCAACTTAGCGGAACGCCTCAACTTACGACTTACGTTCGAGCCCGAAGATTTACGCTGGCTGAGTGGGAAATTTGAAACCAGCCCAAAAAAATAAATTAAAAAATTTCAGACTTGTAATTATTGTCACTATTGCCAGGAAAAAAAAGAATCTGTGAAATAGAACACAACGCTCACCATCTCTTTAATGACTTTAATTTCTTCATTCTTGCTCAGCGGCTTCATGTAATGGAACAGGAAGAGCGTTAAGAGCTCTGGGCCCAACCACTGCTGAGTGGTACTTCCGACAGAAGGAGGTTCCGCCAGCGCTATCACTCTGAAGGAGGGATGGACGGGAAAAATAGCCCTGGGAGAAAAGGATTTAAAAAGAAGAAAAGAGCGCAAGTTTAGCTGTTTCGCCTCGTAAAGAGCTGAGATTACAGCAGATTAACAGAGTTGGAAGGGACCTTATAGGTCATCTAGTCCAGCGGTCGCCAACCAGTGGGCTGGGAACCACTGGTGGTCCGCGAGAAAATGTTGGTGGTCCACAGAGAAATATTACCCCCAAAGCAATTAATTCAGGCTGCGCAGGAACACAAGGCTTGTGTCGCTTGCATTGTTGAACAACACGAGGGAGTGAGGGGATTGGGGAAAGGGCGAAGGGGGGGATTTGCCCCACTCGCCCCACATGCCTGGCCTAGCCACCGGGCTGCTTCTTTCTGCTTCTTTCTTCTTCTGCTTTTGGCTGCACGCAAGGAAAGCAGCAAAAATCTTTCTTTCTCTCCCCCAAACTCCGCCAGAAAGGAGTCTTTGGGACCCTGCAAGGCCTCCTGCTCCAAGAGGATGTGCCGGCAAAGACTCGTTTCTGGCAGAGTTTGGGGGAGAGAAAGAAAGACCTCTGCGGCTTCTGCTGCTTTCCTTGCATGAAGCCAAAAGTCTCTCTCTGTCCCCCCCTGAGAATGGAACTGGAGACAGTATCCCAAATAAAGAACGATCGATCGGTAGGAAGACAGGGTGGGGGATTTTCCTGTATACTTTTTGGGGGATTTTCACAGGGTCCGCGGGATTTAAAATTACGAGTTTGGGGGTCCCTGAGGTCCAAAAGGTTGGTGACCCCTGATCTAGTCCAACCCCCTGCCCAACCAGGAGACCCTACACCATTTCACAACCGAAGGGCAGCTGAACATTATTTAAAACCAAGATGTTAGTGTAAAGGATGCACACTAAGTTCTGATTAGGTGGATTTATTGCTCATGCTTTTACACAAGAATCTAGACAATTGTCAGCACTAAATTGATGCTAGATAAGAATGAACGGAATTCAAGAAGAGGTTGGACTTAGACCGTTTGTGACAATGTAATGATTCCAGGCCGATTCCTCTCTTGACTCCACCCCCAGGCTCTGCCTATTCTTCTACACATGTTCTGTTTCTGCATTTCTGTTAGAATTAGAATAACAGTGCTGGAAGGGACCTTGAAGGTCTTCTAGTCCAACCCCCTGCTTAGGTAGGATTCCCAGTACCATTTCAGGCAAATGCTTGTCCAATCTCTTCTTGAAAACCTCACAACTTCTGGAGGCAAGTTGTTCCACTGATTGATTATTCTAACTGTTCATGACTTGATCCCAAAATAAATACCCAAACTAGCATATTTTTTTCCACACAATTTAGCTTGAATTGACTAACCTCATCAGGCATTAATAATCAAACCCTTACCTGTCTGTGTAATTGCTTTTAAAACTTTCTTTCACCCATCGACTAATTCACTGAGGAGATTTTCCCTTCGCTACCTATTACCAGCAATTAATTATGCCCAATTAATTGGAGTAAGCCAGAGTAGTAAGCAGAGATGACCTATTTATTCAACCTAGAAACACTGGCCCTGTGAGCACCGCATACAACGACATTTCATTATAACCTAGGCCTGTTAGTGTAACGTTCACAGTGACAGTAAAGCTATTCTGAGTTCTTTGCCAGCGCTCCCAAGAGAGTTGTGTATTCCGAGGCAAAAAGATTTAGTCCAACTTCGGCCTGCAGGAATAACGTGCGCAAATTGTACCGCAGTGAGCTCTCCCCCCCTTTTTTTTTGGGGGGGGGGAACCCAAACAAAAATGCTAAAGGGACAACTCAACTGCCTGTTATAAAAAAAACAGCTCCTGCAGATCAAAGCTCTGAAGTTCAAAGGGGTTATTTTTAGCCGAATGTCGTCCTTTAGCGATAAACACAGACAGAGAAAGATCGGAAAGGAACATGAGAAATGGGGACAAATGACTCGAAGGCAGCTGTCGGCATGCAGCCACGATGCGTCATTTTTATTTTAAAAAAAAATCTCTTTTGAGATGACATAGTTCAATGTCAACATCAATCCATTCTTCTCAGGTCCTCCCGTTGGTGGAGGTTTATGGAGACACTAACAAACACTAACGTGTGGTTAGTCTCACTAAACCCTTTTTTCTTTATTTCTACAGTTGTGAATTTTAGTCATCCACTGCCCATAATGAGTCTGAAACAGTTTGTAAAGAGTCCCGTGGAAGTTTGCTAAAGTCCTTCGGGAGAAGTCTGATAAGCACCCACCTTTATCTTCCTTGAAATGCTGCCAATGACTAAAGTTCCAATTAGTTACACGAGGCCAAATGAAGCACAAATTCAACACAGAGCTTCGGGTTTCAAACCGACCAGTACGAACAAAGTTGCTTCCTGCAAAGGCTCATGTCCCTTTGCTCCTCCTTTATGTCTTATGGGAGGGGCCAATCACCTCCAAGCCTCACTGCCGAGTCGCCTCTTTTGTCTTAACTGTTCTTGCCTTCTGGCAGCTCTGTGCAAGCGCACACTGGGAACAGGCTCCCGCTGTTCCTCTGCCTCGCTGCTGTCAGATTCTGGAGGCTCTGCAGTCAGCACATAACTCCCAGATGGTCCTGGCCTCATCTCTGTATCGGATGCATATTTGGGCTGAGTCCTCCCCAGACACCCGGACTGGCCCATGGTCCTCCCCACTGTCCGACTCTGCTGCCATCTCCGCAGGCTGCCGACGGACCAAAACAGTTGGTCTAACAGTACAGGTAACCCTCCACTTACAACAACAACGGAGCCCAAAATTTATGCTGCTAAGGGAGACATCGTCTAGGTCTCATTTTACGACCATTCTAGCTGCAGTTGGGCAAGCGAATCATTGCAGTTCTTAAGCGAATCTGGCTTCCCTGTTCAGTTTGCTCGTTACGAGAGTCCAAATAGAACTCAAAGCAGAAATATTTCTCCTGGGAATTATCAAAGGGAATTATACAAAAGAGATAAAATATCTAATCCTGCATATAATTAGAGCAGCAAGGACAGCACTCGCACAATCACCAGGCTTGAGATTTTGGGCTTGGACAACCTTGAACTACACCGCCTACAGTTGGACTTAAGCGTAGCACACAAAATTATCTGCTACAATGTCTTACCAGTCAATGACTACTTCAGCTTCAACCACAACAATACAAGAGCACACAACAGATACAAACTCAGTGTAAACCGCTTCAAACTCAACTGCAGAAAGTACGACTTCAGCAACAGGAGTGCTCAATGCCTGGAATGCACTACCCCAGGGGTCCCCAACCGCCGGTCCGCGGACCGGTACCGGTCCGCGGAACAAGTCTTACCGGGCCGCTGGTTGCTGGGCGCCGCCATCTTTTTTTGGTAAAAAGTGCTTCCGGTGAGCTTTTCTGGGTAGAAAGCTCACCGGAAGCACTTTTTCGTCAAAAAAAGATGGTGGCGCCCAGTTGATGCCGGTACCGGGCCGCGGCACCCAGCTGATGCCGGTACCGGGCCGCAGCGTCAAAAAGGTTGGGGATCACTGCACTACCCGACTCTGTTGTTACATCCTCAAACCCCCAAAACTTTAACCTCAAACTATCCACTATTGACCTCACCCCACTCCTAAGAGGTCTGTAAGGGGTGTGCATAAGCGCACCATCGTGCCTCCCGTCCCTGTCCTATTGTCCCCATTTATTCGTACCTATTTCCTGTACTCATACTTAGTTTATACTAAGACCTATTATCTTGTAAGCGATTGACAAATCAAATAAACCAAATAAATAAATAAAATAAACAATGTTGGAAAGGAGATCCTATGCCGACAGATGGCTTAATAATCCAAAAGATTTTTGATTGCACGGAAATGGACAAACTCACATTAGAATTAAAAGAGAAGGAAGACTCGGATTATTATACAGTTTGGGAAAATTGGTATCAATGGATAAATAATAGAAACAAGCAATCAAATAAATAAGGAGTGTATAGCTTGGAAAGATAGAGGTATATATATATATATATATATATGTATATATAAGAACAATTAGGAGTATAAAATACACATGGAATAACAATTGAAATATAAGTACTGTCAAAATGGATTGTAATATACACAACATTTTCTTTTTAAATATCTGTAATGTATTTTGTATTTTAATGTTTTAAATTTTCAATAAAGATTATTTTGGGGGAAAAAAAGAAAAAGAAAATGTAATTAATTTTAATAAAGACCCAAGCAGGTTACCTTTGTTGTAGGTCCTCATCTGAGATTTGAAGTTCTTCCTGCAGCTTCCGGTATCTGTCTTCTCTCAACAATCTGGTACCATCGTAAAGGGTGATCTCTCTGTCATGAAGCAATCTGCAAACAGATTTTGTGAAAGAAATCAATGAATAAAGGGGGAGAGAACTGCGTGGCTCTTGAGCTTGGTTGCTTTCTTGCTGACGTTTCATGACCCAACTAGGGAGCATGATCAGTGCTAGAAGGGAGTGGGGTTTGTGGAGAGGAGGAGGAGGAGGAGAACTGCGTGGTTCTTGA